TGATGAAAATCTAGACTCTCATTATATCGCCGTCTTGAGAATCTGACAGTTATCCTTTCTTGAACCAATTCACTTCATGGTCAATTGCAAAAATCTTGAAAAAATCTTGCAAAAGCCTTAATTTATTATACTACCTTCTTTTGGCAATATAACAAGAGTTTTTCCAAATTGAGGATAATTAATGTTGGAACTTGACTAACGAGAATCAGTGAATGTATTTTTCCTTTCTGAATGATTCAATTCAGACGTTAACTCGTGTGAAAGAATACATTAATATTTTGATGAAAATCTAGACTCTCATTATATCGCCGTCTTGAGAATCTGACAGTTATCCTTTCTTGAACCAATTCACTTCATGGTCAATTGCAAAAATCTTGAAAAAATCTTGCAAAAGCCTTAATTTATTATACTACCTTCTTTTGGCAATATAACAAGAGTCTTCTCAAATTGCGAATAATTAATATTGGAAGTTGATTAACGAGAATCAGTGAACGCACTTTTCCTTTCTGAATAATTCAATCCAGACGTTAACTCATGTGAAAGAATACATTAATATTTCGATAAAAATCTAGACTCTCATTATATCGCCGTCTTGAGAATCTGACAGTTATCCTTTCTTGAACCAATTCACTTCATGGTCAATTCAAAAACCTTGCAAAAAACCTTGCAAAAGCCTTAATTTGTTATACTATCTTCTTTTGGCAATATAACAAGAGTTTTCCCAAATTGAGGATAATTAATGTTGGAACTTGACTAACGAGAATCAGTGAATGTATTTTTCCTTTCTGAATGATTCAATCCAGACGTTAACTCGTGTGCAAAAATACATTAATATTTTGATAAAAATCTAGACTCTCATTATATCGCCGTCTTGAGCATTCGACAGTTATCCTCTCGTAAACCAATTCAATTACAAAAACCTTGCAAAAGCCTTAACTTATTATACCACCCTTTTCGGCAATATAAAAAGAGTCCTCTCAAATACCCCACTCCATTCGCGTAATTATCCATAATTTCAATTTCATGCAGTAAAATAGAGAATGATTAATATTGAAAGACTAACGAGAATCATTCACCGTATTTTTCCTTTCTAATTTGACGTACTTATCTGCTGGATCTCGCTGCGTACCGCAATCGCACGATCTGACCCTGAAGAAACTAGCAACTCAATAGACCAGAAATAAATATGCAAACGAGGTTGTTCCAGCAGGACAATTTCCCTGTTTTCCTTTTTCGCACGGGACGCACACAAAGAAGGAAGCCCATATCTCAGCCGGCGAAACGTTAAGCGCCGCTTTCATCGCGCGAATTAAGATTTATCGTGGGCGCCGTTTGACCGAGAAGCCTTTTCACGTGGCGTCGCGAAGTCACGACGAAGACTTATGAGTTTTAACTAGCAACGCTCTTGCATTGCCGTGTTTCTTTCACGATGTGACAGAGGAACTTGTCTTGAGCGATGCCATAAAAATTGGCTAAGCTTCTCAAGAACTTCTTTTGCTAGAAATCTCACTTTTTACTGCCATAGTTTGCGGTGATAAGTCGGTAGTATTGAAGGGTTGATTGTAGTCGTCGGCCATATTGGAATGCGGTGAGGCACAAGGCTGCACGAACGGACCCGAAGTTCAACCACGTCATGGATGCAAGTAGTTCATCTTCTTTTAAGTTCGACTTAAGAGTTTTGAATATACAAATATATATGTACATGCATATGTATATGTATGTGTATATGTGTATGCATATGTGTATGCATATGTGTATGCATATGTGTATGCATATGTATATGTATATGTAAATGTATATATGTATGTGGATGTGTATGTGGATGTGTATGTGGATGTGTATGTGGATGTGCATGTGTATGTATATGTGTATGTATATGTGTATACGTATGCATATGTGTATGTATATGTGTGAACATATGCATATGTCTATACATATGTGTATACATATGCATATGTGTATGTATATGTGTGAACATATGCATATGTGTATGTACATGTGTATACATATGCATATGTGTATGTATATGTATATGTATATATATACATGCATAATACATATGTACAATAAATATCTTCAACAACACACACATATGCATAAACGTAAATTTTGTTGAATGCCATAACCTAACCTCAAAATCAAACATACTGAAAATAGTCACATATGACATATCTATATATAGTTTTGCCCGCAGAATTTTGATAATAACAGTAACTATTTACAGCGAACCATTACCAGAAACGGCAATTCGACAGGATCGCACAGTGATGCTCCTTTGCGTTTCAACGCGACGACCAACGAGGCGGAAACAATTACTTAAGCGACCGATTAAACGACACGCCTCGATTCCTCGCCTCTCGATCGAACAACCGTGAACCTGAATTTCAAGTCCGATTAAGAACCTATTACACGCTCGTTCGATCATTCGTGAACCGATCGACAGACGAGAATTTAAAATAAGCGTCATTGTTGAGGACGTATCGACGTGCCGGCTTTGAGCATTTAATTGGGACATCTACGATTGTAGATGGCCATCATAATCTGCACGGAAACCGTTCTCACGTATTGATTATTTTGACAGGGTTGTTGAGGGAACTTCTTTGTTAAAGCGTCAATTTACAGATGCTGGACTCTCATGGAAGTGAAATTACGTCTAAGGGATTTAGGGAGTCGGGAAATTAGGGAGACGGGAATTTAGGAAGACGGGAAATTTGAGAGTCGGGAATTTAGGGAGACGGAAATTTAAGGAGTGGAAATTTAGGGAGATGGGAATTTAGGAAGGGGAGAAATTTGAGAGTCGGGAAATTCGGGATTCGGGAATTTAGGGAGTGGGAATTTAAGAAGGCGGGAAATTTGAGAGTCGGGAATTTAGGAAGACGGGAATTTAAGGAGTGGGAATTTAAGGAGACGGGAATTTAGGAAGGGGAGAAATTTGAGAGTCGGGAAATTAGGGATTCGGGAATTTAGGGAGTTGGAATTTAGGAAGGCGGGAAATTTGAGAGTCTGGAATTTAGGGAAATGGGAATTTAGGAAGGGGAGAAATTTGAGAGTCGGGAAATTAGGGATTCGGGAATTTAGGGAGTTGGAATTTAGGAAGGCGGGAAATTTGAGAGTCTGGAATTTAGGGAAATGGGAATTTAGGAAGGGGAGAAATTTGAGAGTCGGGAAATTAGGGATTCGGGAATTTAGGGAGTTGGAATTTAGGAAGGCGGGAAATTTGAGAGTCTGGAATTTAGGGAAATGGGAATTTAGGAAGGGGAGAAATTTGAGAGTCGGGAATTTAGGGAGACCGAAATTTAAGGAGTGGGAATTTAGGGAGACGGGAATTTAGGAAGGGGAGAAATTTGAGAGTCGGGAAATTAGGGATTCGGGAATTTAGGGAGTTGGAATTTAGGATGGCGGGAAATTTGAGAATCGGAAATTTAGGGAGACGGGAATTTATGGACTGGGAATTTAGGAAGGCGGGAAATTTGAGAGTTGGGAAATTAAGTAGTCGGGAATTACGTTTAGTCCCAATTCGATGACTAGAGTTTGTATATCATCATACAAAACCTTTTCTTGAAGTTCTACTAAAATAAAAAGATGTCTGATCATTGGGAAAGTCTCCTCCACGAATCTATTACTATCGTACGAATAAGAGGGAAATACGAGTGGAGGAAAGGACAGGCTGGTCAATTAATTAACCAGCAGACGGATGGCAGATGGCGCATACCGTAACGGCGAAACAGAAAGTAAAAGACGACGAGAAACGAAGAAAGATGGAGGAGGACCGATTATGACGATGCGACGTTCCTCTCCTTCTGTTATAGTCATAGAACTCCCTGGAGAGCGGAGGAAGAGCGATTACTTAATTTAGATTAATTTTACTTCCCTCGTTTCTTACGCGTCTGGCCACTCGGAAGATTTCTCTGGAATTCTGATGGAACCCTGTTCTTTTACTGCTTGAGAAAGTCGGTCTGGAATGTGGATGGATTTAGTCAGTTTTCAAACTGTACTGATGTTGGGATTTTAGGATTTTGGAGTTTGGGATTTGGGGTTATGGGGTTTTTGGGAATTTTTTAGGAATTTTTCGGGTTTTAGGAAGTTGAGAATTTAGGGAGACAGGAATTAGGAGGTGGGAATTTAACAAGTCGGGAAATTAGGGAGTCGGGAATTTAGGAATTTTTGAGATTTTGGGATTTTGGGGTTTGGTTTTCGGGGATTATAGGATTCTATCATTTTAGAATTTTGGGATTACAGGATTTTATATTTTTTGCATTTTAGGACTCCATGAACCTATGCCCATCTCTCCAAATAAATTCCTCTCAAACCCACCACGCTGAGAACCACTGTGATCGCATAAATCACGTGCAAATTAAAATCTCGCCCAGCCCACTAGAAGTCAGTATCCGCAATCGCAATTAGGGCTATAAATTGGCCATCTTAAACATATTCCGCGCACGAATTTGCGTTAATTGCCGCGGACAAGTCGATCATACGCTATATAGCCAGTTAATTAACCACGGTGTCAAAGCGTGTCGCGCTAGAAGCGACTTGTTGCGATCCAGCTCTTTATTCTTCTCTCGCATCTTCCCGCGTCTCTGTCTCTCCTGCTCGGCACACGAGCTGGTTGTCCCTGTACTCTGATGCCAGAACAGCACGAGCTGGGCTCGTGGCCAACTTTTGACCCGGCTCCGTGCCGCTCGATGTTTGACTTTCCAATAACAGTTCCGACTAAACTTCGCGACGTTTAAGCAGCTATCACATGGATATGGCTGTCTAACTTTTCCATGGGGATTTTGCCTTTGGCTATATTAGAACTGCCTCTGTTATCATTTTTCCTTGGTAGAATAAGGTTCAGGCACTATGGGCACTATGGGCACTATAGGTACTATAGGGGTACTATATCTTTGTATGACCACTATAGGCACTATAGTGGTACCATGTAGATGCATGACCACTATAGGCATTATAGTGGTACCATGTCTCTGTAGGATCACTATAGGCACCATAGTGATACCATGTCACTGTATGACCACTATAGGCACTATAGTGGTGCCATCTCTCTGTATGACCACTATAGGCACCATAGTGGTACAATCTCTTCATACGATTGCTATAGGCACTGTAGTGATACCGTGACTCTGTATGACCACTATAGGCACTATCGACGTACCATCTCTCTATACGACCACTATAGGCACCATAGTGGTACCATGTCTTTATACGACCACTATAGGCACTATAGCGGTATCATGTCTCTATATGATCACTATAGGCATCATAATGGTACCATGTCTCTGTAGGATCACTATAGGCACCATAGTGATACCATGTCACTGTATGACCACTATAGGCACTATAGTGGTGCCATCTCTCTTTATGACCACTATAGGCACCATAGTGGTACAATCTCTTCATACGATTGCTATAGGCACTGTAGTGATACCGTGACTCTGTATGACCACTATAGGCACTATAGCGGTACCATGTCTCTATATGATCACTATAGGCATTATAGTGGTATCATGACGCTGTAGGATCACTATAGGCACCATAGTGATACCATGTCACTGTATGACCACTATAGGCACTATAGTGGTGCCATCTCTCTGTATGACCACTATAGGCACCATAGTGGTACAATCTCTTTATACGATCGCTATAGGCACTGTAGTGGTACCATGACTCTGTATGACCACTATAGGCACTATCGACGTACCATCTCTCTATACGACCACTATAGGCACCATAGTGGTACCATATCTTCATACGATCACTATAGGCACTGTAGTGATACCATGACTCTGTATGACGACTATAGGCACTATAGACGTACCATCTCTCTATACGACCACTACAGGCACCATAGTGGTACCATGTCTTCATACGATCACTATAGGCACCGTAGTAGTACCATCTCTCTGTACGACCACTATAGTGCCCCTCGCAAACATCATCACATAGCGCCACAGTGGCTCTACCGGCTCACCCATTTCAATTGAATGATCCACATGTTTTGACTCGCACTTTTTCGCCACGTTTTAGAAGAGTATCCCACAAAAGTACATGACACGTAAATAAAAGGTAGCGCCAAGTTCGGGCACCATGGGCACCTCCCGCACTAATACACGATGTCGGAAACATTTGGAAATGACATATTTTGTGAATTTTCCAAAAAGTAAATTATCAAAGTTAAAGTATATCATATCTTTGGAAAAAATTTAATCATGAAAAACTTCGTTCCAATGTACTCGCGACAGCATTGTCACGCGCTGCAGTGCTACGAGGTAACCTTGCCTTATGATTTATTTGTCGGGTCAGTCAGAACCGATCGGACAATATCAAGGAACGGAGAATATTTTTATATTCAGCGAGTCTTGATTATGTGGATTGTAATTGGATTTGAACTCCAAATTCCGGGTGTGTCATGTGCGTCACGCGTCAGACCATGGGTGTTTTCATCAGAAAATGTTATGTCGTTTAAAATGTAGCGCGGTTATTTAATTATACCGCTTATGTCATCATGAAAGTGGGCCGGGGTAAATCCTTGCTATGAATCACAGCCAAGAGCATCCGTCAAAATAAACTGTTCTAATGATGTAATAATAATCCACCAATAGTATGCCAAGCCATAAACAATATACGTGAAGCGTGCTACAGTGTTACCGATTGTTTGGAATTAACCTAGATGCGAATTTGGTATCCTCCCCTATCTCTGTTTAAAAGTAAAGTCGCGTTCTCTGACAAGTTTCGTCAAACAGGACCCTTACGTAACCGAAATCCATCGGATATCGGTGGAGCTCAGCGAGCCACGGATGCTTACGCTCATCTCGTTGTCAAATCGCCTGACAGCGGACGTCAGACCGGTAGGCTGCTCGTTTCCATTCCAGGACGTCCAAGTGGAAGCTTCTATAGGGATCTCCTCCCCCTCTCTCTTTGTGGGCTTGTCAAATCTTTGCCAGAGGACCGACGTGCCGGCTAATATTCGCAACCTGGTAGACGGGCTGATGTCGCGCTCAATGAGAAGCCCTTTGCTTGCGCGTGATATTGCGTTGCTTTTTCGTTTGATAGGGTTTGTCGTTGCTTTCGATTCAATATACTTGGGATACTTGTTTCTATTGCAGTACGAGACAGCAGGAACGGAAAATGAAATTGGCAATGTATTTGGGTGGCCATTTAGTCTTTGGTATACTACACCTAACCTTACATTGATCTAACCTAACATTACTAACACTAATTCACTGCTATATACAACCAAACATTGACCTAACCTAAGATAAATAATACTACCACAGTGCTACAATTAACCTAACATTAACCTAACCTGACATTAATAGTACTAATCAACTGTTACATATAATCTAATATTGACCTAACCTAACAGTAATAATACTAGTCCATTGAAACATCTAACCTAGTTTTGACCTAACCTAACGATAATAATACTTGTCCATTAATACACCTAATCTAAAATTGACCTAACCTAACATCAGTAATACTAATTAAGTGCTAAACTAACCTAACTTCGACCTAACCTAACATTAATAATACTAGTCCATTGAAACATCTAACCTAACTTTGACCTAACCTAACGTTAATAATACTTGTCCATTAATACACCTAATCTAAAATTGACCTAACCTAACATCAATAATACTAATTCACTGCTAAACTAACCTAGCTTTGACCTAACCTAACATTAATAATACTAGTCTATTGAAACATCTAACCTAGTTTCGACCTAACCTAACGTTAATAATACTTGTCCATTAATACACCTAATCTAAAATTGACCTAACGTAACATTAATAATACTAATTCACTGTTACACAAAACCTAATATGTACCTAACCTAACGTTTTTAATACTAGTTAATTTTTCACAGTATTTAACCTAACCAGCTTCGTCAAAAATAAGAAAGTCTGCCATTAGTCAAAAATTTTTATTTGCGAAAGACACAACTGCGATGCACGTGGGCAGAGAATAGGCAGATGCATTATGTAAGGGCGTATCTGGGTACATATTTACCCGAGATAACTAGTGAATGAGTCCGTTTTATCGAGTTTCACGCTCGTATCTCTTCCTTTCCGATTTTACCCGCAGTTACTACAAAGTTCGTCGCGTAACCTCGATTTCATTCATGAGTTCGCTTACAATATCATATCGAAAAGCAAACGAATCGATTTCAATTAACCCGATACCGGTATAACGTTAACTACTCTAACTTTCTTATAGGTTCAACTCCACGTTCACACGCATAATTTACCTAACACGTGTACACAATTAATTAACCATCATATGTACACAGATAAACAGTTTGAGGAGAATTTAGATAGATGGGAATTTAGGGAGTTGGGAATTTAGGAAGTTGGGAATTTAGGGAGTTGGGAATTTAGGGAGTTGGGAATTTAGGCAGTTGGGAATTTAGGGAGTTGGGAATTTAGGGATTGGGGAATTTAGGTAGATGAAGATTTAGGGAGACGGGGATTAAGGGAGACGCGAATTAAGGGAGTGAGAATTTAGAGATTCGGGAATTTAGGGAGACGGGGATTAAGGGAGTGGGAGTTTAGAGATTCGGGAATTTAAGGAATCGGGAAATTAGGGAGTTGGGAAATTGGGGAGTTGGAAAATTAGGGAGTTGGGAAATTAGGGAGTTGGGAATTTAGGGAGTCGGAATTTAGGGATTCGGGAATTTAGGGAGACGGGGATTAAGGGAGTGGGAATTTAGGGATTCGAGAATTTAGGGATTCGGGAATTTAGGAAGTTGAGAATTTAGGGAGACGGGGATTAAGGGAGTGGGAATTTGGAGATTCGGGAATTTAGGGATTCGGGGATTAAGGGAGCGGGAATTTAGGAAGACGGGGATTAAGAGAATGGGAATTTAGGGATTCAGGAATTTAGGGAGACGGGAATTTAGGGAGCGGGTATTTAGGGATTCGGCCATTTAGAAATTCGGAACATAGGGATTCGGGAATTTAGGAAGTCGGGAAATTAGTGAGTCGGGAATTTAGGGAGTCGAGAAACTAAGAATTCGGTTATTTGGAAATTTGCAAATTTAAAAACTTGGAACCTTGAAAATTTGCAAATTCCCAAACTTAAAAACTCAAAAATTCAAAAATTCCTTTCCAAAATTGAAACTCTTGAAATTTAAATAATTTTGCTAATGTTAACAAAATGGCTGTAAACAAGCGCGACACTATATCCATCCCAACAAAAGCCAAAGCCTCTTCAATTACCATGTGAATACGCATCGAATATTTCAAGGCGTCTCTCAAAGGCAGCAAATGTCACGGGTCAATCGTTTTATTTTCTCGTTGAAATACAGAGCGGTATTTCGGGTGACATCCGGCCCACATATATACCTATATAACAAATTATTCGTCGACTGTTCAAACGGGCACTGGCTCCCGATAATAAATCGTTTTCCTTAGAGTCCAATAAAATAAGGGGTTTTGAAATGGCGGCACGATATTGTTTGCGGCATCATAAATGTCGTGCGTATCATTAGGTGACGTCGTGTCACTGAATGAGCTTCAGATGTCCTCGTTGTTCCATTTGGCGTTTTATCAATTGGCCTCGATGCAATATATCGTGTAGCTTGCGTTCGCTTTTTAATGCGGTCTAAAAACGTTTAAGTGGAATCTCAAAGCATTTTTCTGACGTTCGATGAATTTATTTTGTTGGATAAATTATTTGATTTGACTGTGATTTGGGCGATGTGCTTGGTGCTTTGGAATTTTTGAAATTTTTTAAGTTTATGATATTAGATTGCAGGGTATTTTGAAAATTTAGTACTTTGCAGAGACAGGAAAAGGGAGTCGGAATTTGGGGATTCGGGAATTTAGAAAGTTGGGAATTTAGGGAGACGGGAATTAAAGGAGTCGGAATTTGGGGATTCGGGAATTTAGAAAGTTGGGAATTTAGGGAGACGGGGATTAAGCGAGTGGGAATTTGGGAATTCGGAAATGTAGAAAGTAAGGAATTTAGGGAGACGGGGATTAGAGGAGTGGGAACTTGGGGATTCGGGAATTTAGAAAGTTGGGAATTTAGGGAGACGGGGATTAAAGGAGTGGGAACTTGACGATTCGGAAATTTAGAAAGTAGGGAATTTAGGGAGACGGGGATTAAAGGAGTGGGAATTTGGGAATTCGGAAATTTAGAAAGTTGGGAATTTAGGGAGACGGGGATTAAGCGAGTGGGAATTTGGGAATTCGGAAATGTAGAAAGTAAGGAATTTAGGGAGACGGGGATTAGAGGAGTGGGAACTTGGGGATTCGGGAATTTAGAAAATTAGGAATTTAGGGAGACGGGGATTAAAGGAGTGGAAACTTGGGGATTTGGAAATTTAGAAAGTTGGGAATTTAAGGAGGCGGGGATTAAGGGAGTGGGAATTTGGGGATTCGGGAATTTAGAAAGTTGGGAATTTAGGGAGACGGGGATTAAGAGAGTGGGAATTTGAGGATTCGGGAATTTAGAAAATGGGGAATTTAGAGAGACGGGGATTAAGAGAGTGTGAATGTACTTTAAGTTCGGAAATTTGATAACCTGACATGGAACTATGATTATGTACAGCTTTGCGGAATCTTTCATGTCTCATGGTTTCAGATTTTGCCAATAACTTGTATTTACCTAACCCACCAGAGATCTTCATACATCCTTGACGCCACCTATCAAAAAATTTGTACCATTCCCTCTAAATAATTTTGTCCCGCATTTTCCTATCAGCAGCTAATTCAGATTTTAAGTGCCTTACCCTGTATATCGCCACATCGGAGTCCCTGACAATGGCTGACAATTACGGTAAAAAACTTGGTACGAGCGACGTCAAACAGATCGGTCGGACGAGTGACTCACAGAGCGAGTAAGAGAAGGGCCCGCATATCAAATGGTGCGTACCACGGGATACAAGCAATTCCCATCAACCAATATTGTCATGTGGGTAATGAACGGCCGTGCACTGAATAAACACGCAGGGCTCTCTTCGACTCGTACAGAACGTTGCCTATTGGAAACGTGCTACAAGTGCTTTCTGTTTCGGTGTTCAAAAGTACGCGGTCTCACTTATGTCGTTTAGATAAAATTATCAATTTGTGGAAGTCTTCAGTTTGATGTTAGTTTACATCCTGACTTATATTATTTAACTTGTTAGGCTATGTAGTGGTTATTGCTCCGTATGAACACTATAGGTACTATTGTGGTACCATAGGTCTGTAGGATCACTGTAGGCACTGTAGTGGTACCATAGGTCTGTATGATCACTATAGGCACTATAGTGGGACCATGTCTCTGTACGACTACTATAGGCACCATAGTGGTACCATGTCTTTATACGACCACTATAGGCACTATAGCGGTATCATGTCTCTATATGATCACTATAGGCATCATAATGGTACCATGTCTCTGTAGGATCACTATAGGCACCATAGTGGTACCATGTCTTCATACGATCACTATAGGCACTGTAGTGGTACCATGACTCTGTATGACCACTATAGGCACTGTCGACGTACGATCTCTCTATACGACCACTATAGGCACCATAGTGGTACCATGTCACTGTATGATCACTATAGGCACTATAGTGGTGCTATCTCTCTGTATGACCACTATAGGCACCATAGTGGTACAATCTCTTCATACGATCGCTATAGGCACTATAGATGTACCCTCTCTCTATACGACCACTATAGGCACCATAGTGGTACCATGTCTTCATACGATCACTATAGGCACTGTAGTGGTACCATGACTCTGTATGACCACTATAGGCACTATAGACGTACCATCTCTCTATACGACCACTACAGGCACCATAGTGGTACCATGTCTTCATACGATCACTATAGGCACCGTAGTAGTACCATATCTCTGTACGACCACTATAGTGCCCCTCGCAAACATCATCACATAGCGCCACAGTGGCTCTACCGGCTCACCCATTTCAATTGAATGATCCACATGTTTTGACTCGCACTTTTTCGCCACGTTTTAGAAGAGTATCCCACAAAAGTACATGACACGTAAATAAAAGGTAGCGCCAAGTTCGGGCACCATGGGCACCTCCCGCACTAATGCACGATATCGGAAACATTTGGAAATGACGTATTTTGTGAATTTTCCAAAAAGTAAATTATCAAAGTTAAAGTATATCATATCTTTGGAAAAAATTTAATCATGAAAAACTTCGCTCCAATGTACTCGCGACAGCATTGTCACGCACTGTAGTGCTACGAGGTAACCTTGCCTTATGATTTATTTGTCGGG